GGTTGAGGCCCAACACGGGCCATGTCAGTTATCCCTTTCCTTCTTGGCCAATGCAGCTGGATGTTCTTCATAAATTTGGACCCAAATATTTATATAAGGAAATTGGTCGGGGTGGCTGGGGTACCTGGTGACTTTTCCCCATACAGCCCGACAGGCCTGGCTCAAATGAGCCCTTGGTTGGCCATTTCAATTGACACAGGGAGCGAAGCTTTTTATGAGAGAATTTAACCCTGTAATTATCTTCTTGCTCAGGGAAAAAAGCCAATTTAAAATTAATGAGAAAGCAATCTAGTGGGGTGTTCTTGGAGCCGGATCCTCCCATCCCTGTTTCAAGGAAAACACAAAGTCAACACACAACAGACAAGGCACTGACAAGACAAACAGGCCCTACAAAAAACAGCTTTGATTCTACCTGGAGTCCTTGTCAGGGCTGGGGTCAGGGGAGGCTTCCCGGCTCATCAGCCACCTTGATCCTAACAACAGACAGTTGCGACCAGTCCAAAGCTTACCTCCAGAAGCTTTCAAAGGTCTATGTGTGAGAATCTTCTGCTGGATCCCGCGACACAGAAACTTGGCTGGATTTACAGTTCCCACTTGGGCATCTCCCTGGGGCCTCCAATATGTAAGACTCAAAGTCTCACTTCCACTCCACGGAGCATGAACAGCTGAAAAGGCCTCCATGATGCTGGGTCCTAACACCCAGCGAGGCTCCTGGAGCGTGATGGAGAAACGAGAAACCCAGGAGGGAACACACCAGGCTAGATGGTAAATGGACCTTTATTAGTCTGGCCAGATGGCACTCCCGGAACCAGGTAGCTCAGAGAGGCAACTGCTCAGGAGCCGAGGTCCTTTTATAGGGTTTTTCTAAACAAAAAGTTCACAGAACTACCAGAGGACCAAGACTTCAAACACATTGCTTATCTTATGCAGGAAACGTTCTATGGTCACCTTTTGTCATACCATTTGCCCCTGGGCAGGCTGTTAGCCAAGTTAGCAAGCTGGAGGATTCCTCATCTACCCCTATCTTCCTTCACACCCCTGAATCTCTTCTGTGTCGGTGTTGACAAGGAGTTACCAGGTCTCTTCTTGGATACCCCTAGTGACGGGAAGCTCCTCCCTCCTGACACGGCCTGCTCTCCTCCAGGGTATGCTCTGTCTGCTACTAAGTTATTCCTGATATTCGGCTCTCACCTGCCTCCCCATGGATTCCCATTTTCAGTCTGGGGTCTTTCCCCTGGGGTTACCCAAGCCACCTGCTTCTTCCTTACTCTGTCATCTCTCTCTTGGGAGGGATTGTTCCTTATGAGACAAAGTGTCTCTGTCATTTATTTTAAAACAAGCAAACTCTTCTTTTAAAGACATGTCTTTATATGTGAATAGAAAAGTAATTCATGAGCATCGTGAACAATTTGGGAAATTTACAGCAATAGAAAGATTAAAACTACCTGTAATCCCACCTCCTAGAAATAAACACTATTAAATTTTTCTTCTGACTTCTATTCATGTTTTTCATAAGAGAGTGAGTGGCAAATATATAATTTGGCACTTCATGTTCTTTTTTCACTTAAGATTATTATAGGAATATTTTCCCATGCTGCTAAAATCTTTTTGAAAGTATGATTTTTTTTTACTTTTAATGATTTGTAATATGCTATTGTCTAGGCAATTACTGATCATTTTCAAATGCTAGAAATTTAGGTTGTTTTAATTTTTTTTACTGTTGCATCACAACACTGTGATATTACCAAACTATATATAAAATTTCATACTGTTTCAAATCATTTCCTTAGACTCTCACATCCTTGAGGTAACAACACCAGGGTCCAAGATTTGTGAGCATTTTAGACATGACATCCCTCCAACTTTTTTGTCATTAACATTTTTAGTGGGATAATAAATAGGTTGAAAAATGCACCAACTGTAAGATGTCAAACTGATAACCAGATATACAAATATACCCATGGTCTTTTTAATAAAATTTTATCATTGGTTTTCAATTTTTACAAAGACCCCTTACTGTGATGATCATTTATATCTTATCATTTACATACCAGCAACAGAAATCCTAGGGATGTGATATACAACAAAGGGGCCCCAAGGTGGACAGAGTCAAAGACACAGTGTTGCTGGGCGTGGTGGCACATGCCTGTAATCCCAGCACTTGGGAGGCTGAGGCAGGAGGATCGCTGTGAGTTTGAGACCAGCCTGGGCTACATAGTGAGTTCCAGGTCAATCCCAACTACATAGTGAGACCCTGTCTCAAAACAAAAACAAAACAAAACAACAAAAAAAAACAAAGACAGAGTGTTGTGCTGAGAAGAGATTTGTATTGTTGTGCCCAAGTCGCAAAGTCCCCAAAGACCACCAAGGAGTCAGGTCCGATGCAATTGCAAGAGGAGTTTATTGCAAGCTCGAGCCTGGACCCTCGGGTGTCACCGTCACAGCGGCTTCAGATCGAGAGCCCAGATCCATCTTTGAAGCGGAATTATATAGGATTAGGGAGACTCTTCCTTTTTATAGGTCCTATTTTTATCTTTCACTTACTATTGGATATTTGAGGGGTACTGGGAGGGTACTTACTAGAAAATTACTAATGCCTACATTCACAGAATCAATTCATCTTTTTAAAGAACATCTGATTAAACAAATTCTATAATTAACAAAGACTACATATGTAAGCAGCGACTGATGCCTATGTTAGCAGTGGCTACCTATGTAAACTGTGACTAGTACCTATGTTGTCTAAATCAGTTCCTCCTTTTAAAGAACATTGATTATCTTAAGCAGGGAGAATTCATCTTTAGATCATAAAAAGAGGAAGAGAAACACAAGGTGGAGGCCTAAGACAGACAGAGCTGCCTAAAAAGAGGAACAGAAACACAGGGAGACTATCATACAGAATGGAATTATACAGAATGGACTTTTTGCAGCTCTGTTCTGGGCAAGGGGCACAGAGGGAGCCCACCTCGACCTGAAAACTTGGTCCTTACAGTATGAGCAATCTTCTTTTTTTGGTACCGGGGATTGAACTCGGGTCCTTGCGCTTGCAAGGCAGTCCACCGAACCGCTGAGCTAAATCCCCGGCCTGAGCAATCCTTTTAGAAATGTTAAATTTTATTTATTTTTTGCAATGCTGGGGATTGAAGCCAGGGATTTGTGCATGAAAAACATGCATTCTACTATGGAATTACATTCCATTCCCACAATATTTTGTTTATTTCATTTGTTTTTTGAGCAAAGTCTTGTTATATAGTTCAGGCTGGTCTTGAATTCAACATGGGGCCCAGGCTGGCCTTGAACTCACAGCAATCCTCCTGCTTCTGCCTCCTGAATGCTAGAATTATAGCACAATCCTTTTTTTGTTTTGCTTTGTTTTTTTAAGACAGGGTCTCACTATGTAGTTAAGACTGATCTGGAACTCACTATGTAGCCCAGGCTGGTCTCAAACTCACAGCGATCCTCCTGCCTCAGCCTCCCAAGTGCTGGGATTACAGGCATGCGCCACCATGACTGGCTGCACAATCCATTTTTAAGTATCCAAAAATCTAAAACTCCAAACCAATTTTTATTTATATTCAAATTGTGTCATCATAGTATATACCTTTTCCAACATTAAGTGCAATTTATTATTAAATATTTATTAATTTGATAAATAGAAATGAAAACACTTTAAATTTCTTCAAGTTTCTTAAATTTTAGTAATTATGAATATTTTAACCTGGTATTTATTAGCTGCTTGTACTTCTTGTATGAGATTGCCAGTGCTCTGTGTACTCTTTTGAGTTTGATGAATATTCATTTCTATTTTCATCTAGGTTTTAAATGATTGCTCACATTTAACTGTATTCCATCTGGAGTTTAATTATTTTGTATACATTTTGAGGGATGGACCTTTTTTTTTTTTTCTTTTTTCTTTCTCCAAATAGTGCACACATGAAATGGTTTGGGGTACTCCCAACAATGGAACAAACTCCAATTATTTTATGTCCTTCTGAAAGTGTGGAAACCACAGCAGGAACAAACAGATTTTTAAAAGTTAAATGAAAGCCTGTGTTAGATGTATTTAAGCCTATCTTATAATAACCCTGAGAAGGTGATTCATCATCATCCTGATTTCACAGATGAGAAAACCGAGGCCTGGAGAGGTACAGAAACGTTCCCAAGGTAACACAGTGAGTCTGACCCAGGACTAGAACTGCTGGCTACTATCTGCCAGCTATTCAGAATTTAGAATTGCCATCAGTTAAATTAGCTCTGAGTGCCATTTATAAAGGAACGACTTGACTTTGTTATTGGGAGGCAAATATGTAACAGCCACACATTCAGAGAGTCAGAATGGGAACCTGTGTCCGGGGAAAGATACTTGTCAAACTAGTTTGTGAATTTGTTTTTAAATTAGCAGACCCTTAAAAAGTTTTTACTGAAAACATTTTGCATATTTAAACAGTCTTCACATGTCTGGTTTTCTTTAGGATGAATTTGGTTTCATCTGTTTTGCTTTCTAGCTACAAGGGACAGATTCCTTCCCAAGAGTTAAAGTTAAGGGGTTTGCTACGCTATCTCTGAGGTTTCACAGAAGCCAAATGGGATTTGCTGCCTCCCCCAGAAGCCTGCTCCCTTTCTGGCTCAACTGTTTTACAGGGTCCCGTAGGGTCTTTCTGTCCTTAGGTTTGCAGACCAGGAATGTACAAAATATTTGGGGGAATGTACATATTTGGGGGAACTACTGGTCTGTATGAGTTTACATTCCAAATACTCATCACCTTAAAAACAAAATCCTTGAATTATCTAGTTGGTTTCTGATTAACCAATGAATTCACTGGCTTTGGTCAAGTGACCATCTGGGGTTCAGTCTACTGCAGTGGTGGCTGTGAGAGGTCACGTGGCTCCCAGGATGCCCCTCTCTAGAGGCCGGGGTAAAGCAGACACATGGACGGATGCACTGACTCTGTATTCTACAGTCCCATCCACTTTCCCCACACCAAAGCAGAGCTGCCAGTGTTTTATTTTGCCAGACAGGTCACATTAAACCCCAAACAATGCTTAGTACCCCCATCGTTTCTAGATGACAGGGACTCTCATCTCAAAACGAAAGGTTGGAAATAGCTGAGTAAGGGACAGCCATCCTCAGGACATTCCTTCTGGGGACCATGGGCATGTGTGACCCTCTGGAAACCAGCATTTGAAATTCACTCCTCAAGTTCACCTGTGGCAGGGAAAGAAGGGATGATGTTGCCAGGTTACTGGCTTTCAGGAGGAAACTGGTTTGAGGAGGAAAGATACTTGCTGCCACCCTTGAGTCTGTGATCTGTGCCTCAAAAGCCCCATAGGTTGAAGGCTCGATGTTAGTTACAGAGAATAACCTCCTGGGATCTAGGTTGTCCCAGAAAATGCCTTAGGCCTCTAGCTCATTCCCTCTTCAGCCCTTAGGGTCTAACTGTGGGTAGGAATCCTTGCCCTTGATCTCTTGACTGCTTCTCCCATCCCCTCAAGTTTGACCCATGGTAGCCCCAGGAGCAAGTACCTGGGGGATGCAGCACAGGTGGTGGGGAGAACCCTACTTGTGCCCCACCCCACCCCTGCCCAGAGCCTTTCACCATCTGTGTGCCCAGCTTCCGGGGACTTTCTTCTCACAGCTTCCCTATGAGGTTTTTCTTCAGCCTCTTGTCCTGGGGCTCCTGGAGTCCTTCCTTACTGCAGGAGCAGGGACCTAGAAAGGTCTGGGAGTTTGTTTCCCCAGGGTAGCCCTTGGCCATAGACTGGAGGGTATGCGTGTGAAAGCCCGGCTCCCTCACCTCCAGGCACAAACCCAGAATTGAAGTTTACATTCCTCAGCTCCACAGAGTCCAACGGAGGCCGGGGACCCACCTGAAGGTGCATCCTTGCTTGATCTCTCATTTGTCCCCTTCTCTCCAACACTTGGCTACCGGTTTCTCCTAGGAACAACCAATCCCTTAACAAGTTCCTTGCCCAGGAATTCTTGTCTTTGGTCCTGCTGCCAGGCCAGTCCCGTGTGAAGAGGCCCAGGGGCTCCTGCAACATTTAGCGCTTTAGAGGTAAAGTTGAGTGTATGTGACATTCTCTACAGCTTGCACTTGGAGGGCCTGGACCCGCACCCTTGGGTGCCCTCAGTGAACAAGGCCTCAACTTTTCAGGTGGCCTTTGTTTTCATTTGGAAAGTATAGCCCAGTCTATTTTTATATTTTAGATATTTAAAAACTTACAGTACGATGCACTCTTTTTGGTATTTAGTTTCTGTGAGTTTTGAGAATTCCATAGAGTCGGAGCCGATGTCACAGGCAAAATATAGAACAGTCCCGTTGTCCCCCCAGGTCCCTCATGTTGCCACCTTGCAGTCAGGCCCTCCACTATCTGTTCTGTCATTTTTAGAACGTCACACCGATGGAATCCCATCGTGAGTAACCTTTTGTCTTTGGCTTCTTTCTGATAACACACGGTACTGGAGTTTTCAGCCAAGTTGTGGCAAATGTCAGCCAAAGGAGAAGTCCTTTTTACTGCTGAGTAGCGTCCCGTCGTGTGGTTGTGCTGTCGCGTTCGTCTGTTCCTCACAGAGGGACATTTGAATTGTTTGCAGTTTTTCGTGATTACAAACGAGGCTGATACAAACGTTTGTACGTACGGTTTTGGTTCACTGTAGGCTTTCATTTCATGTGCGTAAATGCTGAAGAGCAGGACTTCTGAGTAGTTTGGTAAGTGTGCGTTTAACTTTGTGAGAAACTGCCGGAGAATTTTCCTAAGTAGCGGTAACCCTTGGTGTTTCCCCCAGCCAAGCGGCCGAGTTCCTATCGCTGAACATCCTCATCAGTACCATGTTGTTAATTTGTCGATTTTCTTCCTGCTTCCCTCCCTCCCTCCCTTCCACCCTTTCCCTCTCGTTTTCCCTCTCTCTAATAGCCTCGGTTTTATATTAACCCAAATGGGCCATGTCCCTCTCCGCTTCCACTCTTCATGGGTTCACACGGCGTTTGCATAAAATCCAAACCCTTCAGCTCCCTGAGAGAACTTGAGCAGCTCTGACAGCCCCGCTGGCCTCTTCTGCTGCTTCTCCAGCCATCCGGAACCGCACATGGTTCCGGTGCCAAGGGGCCGCTGACCGGGAGCCTCGGCCGGCGGGTTCCCCTGTCCGGCGCCTCGCTCCTCCCTTCGCCGGAGCCTCCTTCCGACCTGCAGGTCTCGGATCAACCCCTCTCCGCCTCTCCACCGGTAATGCCCGCACCACTACTCCCACCCCAAGTCACTGTCCGTGGTGTCCCCTGGGTGCATTTTCTCTCTGTCTCCCCTCGCCATGTGAAATTACTTTCACTATTTGTTATTTTAAACTTTTCTCTTCTCTCACTCCCCCCACCCCCGGAACCCAGGGCCTTTACAGTCAGCTACATCCTCAGTGCCCTCCTCCCCACCTTGCCAGGCTGGGCTTGACCTTAAAGCTTAGTTTTAAGTGAAGTGTAGTATTAAGTGTACACTGAATTTTCATATGCCTATGATCACTTCCAGTATCAGTGCACAGGATGTTTCTAACACTCTGGAAAGTTCCCTCATGCCTCTTCCCTAAAAAGTAAATCATTATTCTATTTTTTGACTTTCATTATACACTAGTAATCCTATGGTCTATACTCCTCATATCCAAATCTTCCCTTCATTGTTGTCTGTGATTTTTTTTGTTGCTGTTTTTTTGCGACAGGGTCTCACTGTGTAGTTGAGACTGACCTGGAACTCACTATGTAGCCCAGGCTGGTCTCGAACTCACAGCGATCCTCCTGCCTCAGCCTCCCTAGTACTGGGATTACAGGCATGTGCCCCCGTGTCCAGAGTTGATCTGCATTTTTACATGGGTCGAAGGCAGTGGCAGCTTGTCCCTTTTCTTGCTGTGTACGATCCCACTATTACCTCAGCACATTTGTTCATTCTTCTGTTGATGGACCTTTGGTTTATTCCTGACTTGCAGCTACTGAATAACACTGCTGCGAACATGTTTATCTTTTGGCAGAGAGACATGCATTCATTTCTTTTGGATATATGCCTTGGAATGGGATTGCTGGGTCGTAGGGCAGGTGTATTTTTATTAGCTATTTACTTTCTTCACTTGTTTGTACATTTTATTTTATTTAAAAACTATCTTTAAAAATAAAATTTATTGATCCCATTCCCCTTACTCAAGCCCCCTCCTCTTGTTTATAGTTTTCTTTCCTCACTAGATTGTAAATTCCACGAAGGTAAGAAACAAGACTGTCTTGTTCATCGTTATATCCCCAAAGCATTTGTGTAGCACAGAACTGGCCATATAGCAGGTGCTCAATACATATTAGTTGAAATATCAGTGAAACAACAAACTTAAGCTGCCATCAATTCAAAGTGACTTGTGACAAAGCCAGCAGGAAATCCAGGTCCTCCCTACTTCTGCCTTCTGCCAGCTGAGACTTGGGAGTCCTGCTGACTCAGAAGGAGACTGAGTTGCAGGCGCTGACTGATTTCAACATTCTGTTATTCTTTGAAGAAAAAGTAGCTCCCTCTCCCTCTCTTGGCCTGCATTGTCACAGTTTGAAGTATTCTTTTGATTATGAGAACACTTCCCATTAAATGCACGCCTCCAGCCCCCCCACCCCTTATTTATGAGCTCATAACTTTGGAATCTGTCACAATCAGTGTTGCAAAAGTGTATCTAGGTGTAATGAAATAATTCAATGAAAAAATGTGGCACAGAGACAGAATTTTCTCCTGCCTTGCAAACTATTCCCAGGACACGAGTGTGTATAAGTCAGCACCTTCCTTAATAAGTAAAGCATTTTAAGGAAAAAAAATATTAATTAGCACTTCACTACCCCAGCCTATTACCCAAATGGTTCACGTTCCATAGACTTTGTCCGAATTTAGAACTAACTATTGCTTTTTTGGTTTATGATTCCTGACATGCCACCAAAGATCTGTATTAGAAGTGGGGAGTGTGGGGCCACTGCCTGCCTCGCAAGGGCACAAGTTCAATCCCCGGTACCCCCCCCCCAAAGTGGGTAGTGTGGGATGGTTCTTTCTGTCAACTTTAAAAATAATGTCAAGTTGTCATAAGAATCAAGAATCGTCTTTTTCTTTTTTTTAAACTGAAGATACAGGATATGTACCATCAAAGCATCCACAGGCTGGTACAGGGGCTTGGCCTGGTTGAGTCTCTCACTTGCTGTGCAGCCTTGGGCAGGAGCTGATGTCTATCTGGGAGGGTTGTTCTTTCATCCGGCTGGCCAGCCGCAAAGTGAGCTCTCAGCTCCTGGCGTGTAGTCACAAAAGGAGGCAGAAAACTGCCATCTCTGAGCTTCTCTACGGGATAATTTAGCCTGACGTCCTTGCTGCTGGCTCTGGTTTCATGCTTGCCTCACCGTCTGGCCCATTCTCATCTTGGATCCATACAGAGATGCACGGCCAGCGTAGCTACTCCCAGCCTTTTCCTGCCCTCTCGCCTCTGCCTGTCTTAGGATTGGTTGAGTTGCCCAGTGGAGCGGGCCGCCAAGACCCAGCCTTGGCCCTTTCGGGTGTGTGTGGGAGGGGGGATCTCAACACATCAAGCACAACTGGCCTTAGCAGGCCCTCCAGCTGTAAGCCTTGCCCTAGGTCCAGAGCCAAGTGTCCGCTCCTTGTAGGGAGAAAGCAAGGTCCTAACCTCCCTTTGCTTCTGCTGCATGACCCTTGTGAATGGCTGTTAATGTTGTAGTCACTCAGTCAGTACTGAGTTACTATCTGAATTTCAACGAGACAGAAATAACCACAAAGAACCAATACTCCCCACATTTTAACATTAATTAATTAATTAATTAATTATTTTTGAGACAGTGTCTTCTATGTTTTCCAAGCTGGCCTTGAACTCCTGGGCTCAAACAATCCTTCCACCTTGGCCTCCCCCACTAGCTGGGGCTGTAGATGTATGCCACTGCCCCTAGCTCTAAAACAGTACTCCAAATTTTTGTTTGTTTGTTTGTTTTTGGCACCGGGAGTCAAACTCAGGTCCTTGCGCTTGCGAGGCAGGCAGCCGCACCACTGAGCTAAATCCCCGGCAGTACTCCAAATTTTTAAGCAGTTGTAGGTCTGAGTGGCACACAGTAAAATTAATAAGCTATAAATGTATAACTCAGCGAATCTCGACTTTGTACACATCCGTGAAATCCCCACTCAGGTCGAGACACAAGGCATTTCCAGCCCCCAGAAATTACTCTCTTTGTGAACACTCTTCAATCCATCATTATTCTGACTTCTATCCCCAGAGACTGTTTAGTCTGTTCTTGAGTTCTCAAATGGATGGAATCACCCAGTATCTAGTTTTTAATGTTGTCTTCTTTCCCCATTTGCTGTATCTATGAGATCATCTCTGTTGCATAAAGCAATAATTTTTTTTTTTTTTTGAGACAGGGTCTCACTGTGTAGTTGAGACTGACCTGGAACTCACTATGTAGCCCAGGCTGGTCTTGAGCTCACAGCAATCCTCCTGCCTCAGCCTCCCTAGTGCTGGGATTACAGGCGTGCACCACCATACCCAGCATAAAGCAATAATTTCTGAATTTGTTTTTATTTTTAACATTTTAAAAAATTTTAAAGTTATTACTCTAGCGATTATTGCCCTTTTAAAAAATAACCATATGCCAAGATATTTGTGGCTCTAATACTGTTATTACAAGATGTAAAAAAAAAAAAAAAGGAATAATTTCATTCTTGAGAGTACTCAAGTGCATCCAAGTTCCAAGTGGGAAGGATGAGTCTGATTAGAAAGGCAGCTGCCCACATCCCTCCCTCTAGGGAATCTCCTAGCACATCTTGTTGTTTTAATTCCAATTTTTTGAATCACTAGTGGTTCAGTGTCTTAGGATCATTTTGTCACCTGTTTCCCTTGGATCCTGCACTGAGCCTCTCTGCAGGTGCGGGTTGGGGTTGGGAGATTAGGGGCTCCTCCCTCCAAGTCATATGTGGGAGGGTGGCAGCGATGTGGATGCCTCCTCCAAAAGGGCCAGTTGCACCCAGACCCAGGGAGAGTCAGTGCTCAAGGTATATAGGAGTGCTTCAGGGAAGAAATAAAAAGTTTACTACCCATGGGGCACTGTGCAGAACAAGCTGTTTGCTTCAGTAGCTCAGTTGACTGCATTATAACCCTGTGATATCCCCATTTTACAGGTGAGAAAGCCGAGGCTTGGAGAGGGAATGTATGGTGTCCTACATCACACAGCTAGTGAGTTGTGGCCCTGAGACTTAAATCTTCCTAATTCTGGAGAAAACCTTTTTTACCACTTGCATCAGTCAGCATTCTGTTACTGTAACAAATGTCTAAAATACATCAACTTTTTACAAAGGGATATTTTGGTCCACAGTTTTGGAGGTTTTACTCAATGGCCAATTGGCCCCATCGTTTTGGGCCCGCAGTGACACAGAACCTCACGGGAGGAGTTTGTGGTGGGAAAGCTATTCACTACCTCACAGCTGGGTGTGTGAGACAGGAAGAGGAAGAAGAGGCTGGGGTCTCATTGCGTCTGCAAGGGCTCATTCCCAATGGCTGAGAGCCTCTCACTTGGCCCCACCTCTCAAAGGCTCCATCACACCCCACCCCAGCACAGCTGTGGTAACCAAGCCTTAAACACATGTGCCTCTGAGGGACGCTTATCCAAGAAATAACACCTTTCCACGCTGCTTTTCCTCAGAAACTCAAATTCCTGCATTGTCCATGTAATTATTTATTTTATTGCCTCCCCAGTAAGGGGAGGGTTTTGCCTTAGTCATCCCTGGGCCCGTGCTTGTTTTGTGGAGGTTTTGTTGTATACCGCAGAGTAAGTCAGTATCCACGGTTGCTCCTC